AAACTTGGAGCATGGCAAAAGGCAAACAGAAATGAATAATTTATGGAGAACACATGCAGAATAAGTCGACAGAAGGTTGTGTGGCCAATGGCCGGCCATACGGATCTCTCTCTCTCTGTCCCACTCTCGCACTCTCTCTCTCTCTGGCTGCTCCACATTTATGCACATAAATTGTAACGGCTTTTTGGCTCTACCTTATGCAGATTTGTTTAACTTCAAAAGAAATAACAAACTGAACAGCTTTGGATGCTGTTATTGCTGCTGCTGCTACTGCTGCTGCCACTGCTGTTCCAAGTTTTTCTCCAGCATTAATCCACTAAACCGTAAACAAACGAGGCCAGTCAACAAAGGGCCAACATGTCGTATGAGCTATTAAGTGTGCCATGTGTGCCCTGCTGGTGTGTGCGTGTGTATGTGTATATGTATGTGAGCATCATCTCGTCGTATATTTTAAACTGCTCGTCCGTTCGAGCTGCTGCATGTTTTGCAAATTTTGTGCAGCTGCAAGCAGTTTCCATTTCTAATTGTGTCGGCCTGATAGATGCTGCCAACCATTTATTATACCCAGGTAGATGTATTTTGCTACTTCTTCGGCAGCCTCTCGGCCAAAAAGGATTCACTCGGCAGTGCCCTGCATGAAATACGGCTATTGATCAACTTGTCAAACACATGGAACATGTTTTAAGCCTGAGCTGAGACAGCTTATCAACTCGTTAGCCAAAAAGCCATGCAACAAGAGTCAGGGATCAAATGGGTCAGAATCCGTTTTTGAGTAAGACAAGCAAACTCTGGAATACTCTGCAAGTGTATTGCTGTAAAGAGAAATTAAGATGGGAATAGTAAAATTATTTTTAATACAGCTGAAAAATAAAATCATTAGAATTAATAGGCTTTAATACCTTTTGTGCTAATTTATTTTTAGAATATTTTTAGCACATTTATGAAGCCATTGAAGATTTAAGCTAGGGTGTTTAAGTATTGGTTTTATATATTTATTTTTATATTAAATAATATAGTGGCAGATACAAAATTTTCTATTTCTCGTTACATTCTGCGGACCAAAAAAATAGTTTTATATATATTTTAATTTTCATTAAAATTTTTTTATTTAATTTACACTTCATAAATTAAAAAAAATAAGAAATGTATTAAATATTAAATAACACATTAAAAACAGATACCTTCGCAATGTAAACATTTCACAGAACATTTGAGCAAAGTCAGTCAAAATAAGACAGAAATTTGAGTGATTTGTTATACCATATATCATACATGTAACTTAAAAAACAACTAGTAATAACTAAATATCTCTTGTAACTTTCCTAACGCACCCAATTTTCATTCTTCTATTTTCTATTCAAATCTTAAAGATCTTAAACTTAAATTTTCACATGTAATTTTCTCTCTCTCCCCATTTAAAATCAACTTTTAATGCATATTTTAATTTATTTTACACTTGTTCAAAATTGACAAAATATTTCATTTCCGACTAAATACGACAGAGTCTAATGTATTTTGGGTCCATTCAATTTTTTACTCAGCTGAAAATTTTTATTTTAAATTGCTTATTTATTTCTATTTTATTTCCCATTTCGAATCCATAGAATATTTTGAATTTATAAAATCAAACTGAAAGCTTATAAAGCCCAACGTGTTTCAATTTCAGTTCCACTTTTTTATTTCTTACTATACGAAGGGCTTAGCTGCAGCGTAAAATTTGTATATGGCCACAAATGAATTTTTTGGCATTACAAAAATAACAAAAAAGAATAAGAGAAGAAAACAATTTGATATAAATTTTTTATTTAGTTTTTAATCTAGCTTGCTTGGGCTGCAGAGCATGCAAATGTTGAGCAGCAAGTTGTAGTTTATGTTTTCAATTTCATCAACTTAAACTAAAACGAAAAAGCTATTAACTCGAAATGCAACTGCGAGTGTCCGAGTGGATGGATAAGCAGAATGCTGGCACGAGAACGAGAAGCAGATGGATTGGGGCATGGCACCATTTCCCTCTTGAATTTGCGCAAATTTACACGAATTTGATTATTATTATGATGGCAATTTGCAAAAATGTCATCTCTCAAGCGACAAATAAAAAAGAGAAGCAAAAAAAAATATATGAGTAGGAAAAATGAAAACATAGTCGGACAAACGGAAATTTCTCATTGCGCAAAGTGGCACAGGAGCTGCTGGCATACATAAACAGGGTGCCGCACTTAGTGGCAAGGCGCGGCAAGGCGCAGTCGGATGCTGATCAATGGCAAGGCGCACCCTGTGCTGCAGGCATACAGTCCTTGGCATCAATTGTGCCATCCACCTAACAGGAATTTATAGTCCTTAACAAGCTGTGCGTCTTGCTGGCATTCGCTTATCGTGGTCGCCCATAATTATGACGCACTTTGTGGCAAATGCCGGTACAGCTGGGGCAGAGTCGAGCTCGCGCGTCCTTCTTCGTCCGGCACATCCGGCAGCAGGATGTTCAATTTTCGCTTGCCTCTTATTTCGCTTTGCCATTTTGATTTCCTTATTTGCCTTGTCGCGTTTTGCATTCATTTGCCTTTGCACTTTATCTGCCAACGTTGCATTACTTTAAGTGGCAACAAGCCACGCCCCGCGCCCCACGCCCCTTTTCTCAACTGCAACCCTTTCCACTTGACTCGTGCCGCTCCAGCTGCGGCTCGCTGAAATTATCTGCTGGCAAAATCAAAAGTTTTTGCGCTTTTATGTTGCGCTCTGGCCCATTCGGGGCCAAGTGGCTGGTGGGCGTGTTAGTCAGACAGCAGCGTCCCGGAATTGTGTCAAGGACACAAGCGCCCCAAGCCCTTTTGGCGGCAAATTCGAGAAATTATTACGGAAAAGGAAAACAGCACCGCAAACATTGTTTAACTTTCATTGCCTTTTCCCTTAGCCACACGCACCCTCCCAGAGAGAGAATCACAAATTGCCAATGAAAAGCAGCTCTCAGCACTTTAACTCTTCGGGCAGCCTTATCGACCGCAGGACACAACCAAATGCGGCATTTGTCAAGGCAAACAATGCAAATACATAAATAATTTATGATAATGTGCGTATTGTGTGCCCAATAGACTCGTAGACCTAATTCAATGAGCTGTGGCCTGAGCTCCAGTAAATCAACTTTGAAGACTTAATTGTTGTGCTTCAAGTGTTTTCCTTTCATGTGTGAACCGCACAGTTTAGCTAATCAATATCAATTTCTATTATTTATATAATATCTTTCTCATAAATATTCAACTTTTTCTTAGTTAGTTCTACTTCAGTGCCTTGAGTAAGATTTCTATGCATTTAACTGAGCCTAGGCCACAGCTTAACGAGTTCTCAACTTGAATTACAACTTTAAATTGACTTGCCTAACTCACACACACACAGACATAGGTGTTTCTTGCCATTCAGTGCGCATCTTATAAGATTTATGTTTCTGGGTCACACAAAAGACGAACAATGTGAGATCTGTTTTATGGCTACCTCAAGTGGCTTACTTTAACAACCCGACGAAAAGTGAGCGGCGAAAGTAGCTGTCGAGTGTCGAGTGAAGGTGAATGTGGCTGCGGCTGCAAGTGTAAATGCGGCTTTTGGCCGTGAATGAAAGTAGCTTACAAAAGTGCATGTAAGCTGCAGGAGCTGGCAAAGGACTGGCGAAAGGATGTTGCAGCCATTGATGAGACTTTTATGTGCATCTATAAGCCCGTCTTGGCTGCACCATTTTGCCATTGAATCCTGTTCAGCCTGTTCAGCCTGTTCAGCGCTGCTGTCAAATCTTTCATTTAATTTAATTTTCATGCCGCAACCAGATTCAACCGGGGACAAGATGTCAAAGTTGCTGGAACTTTATTAGGACCCAATCTGACAGGCAACTGAGCGCAAAAAGCGCGAATCCCTTCACGGCCAGCCACTTGTGGATATGTCTGTATTTCGAGTACAGCTCGGCCCTGCTGAGCGTCGAAATTAAATGAACCAGAAACTTGCTAAAAGTATTTTAACCAACGAAAGTCCCGATGATAGGCCTTTTGACTTCTTATGCCCTGCAGCGGTACATGGACCGAAATTAGGCTACATGTTGGAAGCGAACCTAAAATAATGGCCAATGGGTCGAAAGATACATTGGAGAGCTTAGTAAAGGTAAGTTGTGAGCTGTAGTTCTTCAGACTAACCATGAAATAATATTATTTATGTGATATAAACAATGTCAAACATTGGCTCAAGCACAAAGCAGCTAAAGTTTCTATAATAAAATATTCTTCAAATCTTATGTAAGCCTATAAAAGATTCTACAAGCTCGAAATTCTTTTGGTAATTGTTTCCAGTTAAACAAATTTAGTAGAGCATTAGCTAGTCACTCACTCTGCACTCACTTGCGTTGGCGCTACCTTTTGAAAACTTATTCGGATTCTCATTGCTGATTGTGCTAGGCGCAAAGTTTGCCGCACCAAAGTTGTTCATAAGTATTTTGCCAAGGGTAAAATAACTTTGCCATCACGTTGGCAAGGCAAAGCCAAGTCTCTCAACAATTTCACAGCCCACTTTCCAATGCTAATCAACTGTGGGCGCGTGGGCTGTCAGCACAGCGGCATCTGCATAAAGTTGAAAATTATCAAAGAAATGCCAAAGTACTCAAGAAATTTTAGATTGCATCAATGCAATTATTGACGAATCGATTGACAACTGTAAGAATACTCCAAAGGCAATAAATCTAAATAATAAATAAATAAATAAATAAATAATAATAAATAAATATTTAGTGAAGCTGTTGGAAGTATTTGCCAATTTCAAAATTATTTCTTATCAAATCTGCATCTGATCGATAACTTTTGCAGCTGCTGTAATATCGTTATCGAACTTAGCATCTCTCATGCTTCGCCGCCCTATGTTCGAGTCTTCTTTGTCCAATCAAAAAAGCCCAAGTTCATCGAGTTCCAATAGCTATCTCTTACCTTATCTTGGGTCTATCGAAACGTAACTTGATTCATTTGAACTTGGTCGCTAGCCAAACAAAATTGGGCATTGAATCTGGAAAGACTTAAATGTCAATCTGGATTTTGAGTAATTGTGTTTTTGAGGCCATGAAATTTCAGGGTTTTTGGCGCTCACTGTGTGCAGTCAGTGGGGGATCCTTGGCTACTTATGTTGGCCTCAAGGTGCTCGAGCGGAACCAGGAGCGAGATGGGTATCATGGCGGGCATGAGCTAATTAGCAGCAGTGGCTGGAGCCACGATTGGGATCAGCGTAAGCTTGTGCATCAGAAGATATCGAACCAAGGGAGCTTTGAGGCTGAGCCTGAGGCTGTTGCTCTGCGACACATTGTGCTGGTGCGGCATGGTGAATACAATTCCTCGCCGGATGGCGGGCATCTCACGGAGCTGGGGCGACTGCAGGCGCATCGCACGGGTCAGCGGCTGCACGAAATGGGCGTGACCTGGGACCATGTGGTAGCGTCGACCATGTCGCGCGCCCAGGAAACGGCCATGATCATACTGAAGCAAATTAACTTTGATCCGCTCAAGATGAAGCGCTGCGAGCTGCTGCCCGAAGGCACGCCCTGCCCAGCCGATCCGCCTCAAAATCGCAGCGTCGAAAGTGTGGAGCAGGCTTTCCGGCGCGATGGACCGCGCATCGAAGCCGCCTTTCGACGGTACTTCTTTCGCGCCTCGCCCGAGCAGAAGGAAGACTCCTACCTGCTGCTCATTGGCCATGCGAATGTGATACGCTATTTGGTCTGTCGCGCCTTGCAGCTCTCGCCGGACGCCTGGACACGCTTCAGTCTGCACCATGGCTCCATCACCTGGCTGACCGTCTGGCCCACCGGCTACGTCACTATGCGTTGCCTGGGCGATGCCGGCTTCATGTCCATCAGTGAGCTAACCCACCGAAGACCCAAAGCAAACGTGAAATAAGCTCTTCAGCAGAGCCAGGCTTTGGTGATGGTTTTATAAACTTTATTAAACTCGGCTTTATATTTATATACGTATCTTGTAGATCTGATTGTGTATGGCTTGTAAAATTATTAAAGTATTGTGTAAATGTTTCAAATAAAAACAACTATATTTGCGAATTTATTCAATGCTCACAAATGACAAACTAATTATGAAATACCTATAAATACTCACAAAGTGCTCAATTTTCAAATATTTATTTATAATTATGGTTTATTAATGCATTTAATTATATGAAATATTCAGCAATGCCAATTCCATTCATCAAACAGCATAAGTGCAATTTTTTGTTGCATGAATCTAAATTCCATTTAAAACGAATTTACACAATTTTTTATCAAATGCATGTATAAATTCACGCAAAGGTAAATTCATTTTAAAATTGATTTCAGATTTTTATTTAATATAATATTTTTTTTTAATAACTCAAACTTGAATTTAAGTATCATTAATAATGTTGCCATAGCCAAGATATTTCATGTTCATAGATGTATCCGACTATGTAATACTTACACTTACAACCTTAAGTTTGTTAAGCGCAACTTAGCTTGTAAACGATTTACTAAAGACTTTAAAAGAATTTCAGCAATAAATCTTATTTTATAGTCAGCTTAGCTCGACTATCAACTTTTTAAAGAAAGGCGTTCCATAAGAAAATCTTGAGTTAAGCATTAAAGCTGAACTTTCTGATTAAAACTCTACCTTAACTATGGTTATTCAAGCATGAACATGTGGACGGTTCAAATATGCATCAGGAAGGAAAGGATTGCTATCGACTAAGGCAGATACTTGATACTCAGTTCAAGGCTAAATATAGTATTGACGACCAACTAGAGCGTTGAGGAATTTAAGAGCATGCCCAACGTTAGGTATATAGACACGCCGTGGAAAATCATGGCAATAGTCAAAAAATATTATGTAAACATTTTCAGTCAAAGCAGTAACTCAGAGGATAGAGTTCTAATTCAAACATCGTCCGAGATCTCTGTAACTTACGTCTCTGAGAGCAGCACAGATTGCTGTACTCAAATCTAAGCATATTTAAAAAAAAGCTAACTTAAGTTAGGATCACATTATAAAACGAAAAAGCTTGCTTCCACACTTAAGCACTATAAGAAATTCCAAATAAAAAAAATGTCCACACTTAGCAACCTTAAAGACTTAAACTCATTTATTCAGTTCAAATGCTACCCAAATTAAAACAACTTCTAGTTATTAAATATTTCAATATTTGTCATCTATAAGTTTACATATTTTCAAGCGGTTCTCAAGTCTCATTTTACAGCTGATACGATGGCATATATTATTTGAGCTCTTGCCAAGTGTTCATGCATTGCAAATTAAAGTATTCGCACATATTTTCATTTCACTTCACTTGCAAAGCCGATGAAAATCAATTACAAATATTTAAAGTGATTGAAAGCTGAGCACAGGCTGCAGCGCTCGCACTGTCACACAGATTGGCGCAATGATTATTTGTAATAAAAAAATATGCGTAGCATTTTTGCATATGCTTAATAGGATGGCAGTTTATATTATTTCGCATGCTCTTGGCAACACTTGAGTGCTTAATTTACACACAAATGCGCACACTTAACTATGTGTGTGGGTGTGTGGACGTGTGTGTGTGGGTGAATGCGGCTTCATTTGTAGCCAGACTTTTTGGCCTTTGCATGCTGACCATCCGGAACGTGACTTTTATGTTCATTTTGTGTGGGGCGCATATCGGATGGATGCAGCTGCTGGCAAAGCTGGGAAAGCGGAAAAGGGAGAACGGGAAACGGAAAACGGAAAACCCCTCTATAACTTTGACCAAAATCACTTTTGGGCATGGCCTGCGGCTGTTCCATGCGCCCCGCTGCTGTTGCCGCAATTCCGCACTCTTTCGGCTTTGTCCCTGCTCATTAGCGGGACTTTAATTTTCGCAGCCCTGGCAGTCTGGTTATTGGGGTTTTCGGTCTGGGATTCGGTTACGGGTTCTGGTTTCTGGTTTTGCTCTTTGTTTATGTTTTCATAGCCGCTGTCGTCATCGTTTCATTAAATTTGCATCACAACAATGTGAATTAAATTTGCGTGGCCACAAAATTGCATTATTCCTGACCCAGGCACGAATTCAAAGCCTGTCAACTATTTGCTATTTCCACATTGTTGCAGGAATTTAATAAAAAAAAAACTGAAAATAAAAAACAAACAATGTTTAGCATTTGCCACATGCTCGCCTTTTGTTTAGCCAACAAAGCTGATTTCCACCACAAACCAGGAGCCCTTTCCGTCCGCCTCCAACTAGTTTCCCAGCCAACTACACTGCATAATCATATCGATTTTTAGCTATAAGATATCGCATATATACAGCCAGAGCATGCTCAAAGGAATTCCTTTAAGCTTTTACAATCTCATGTAAAGGCATTCAAAGAGTCTTTACACCAAGACCAAGACAAACCAATATGCTCTTTTCAACTTATGGACAAGTATAAGTACTGCAAATTGTGCATTTGATTTAAAGATTGCTGAAGATTTATGTATAAAATTCTGAGAGCTCATAAACCAGATTGAGCTTCAATATTTGCTTACCTGCTGCTTACCTGCTAGCTCTTATTAATTATATAGTTCAATACTAAACTTTGCTTCGTTAATGCTAGAAAAGTTATTGCCTTCTTTGTACTCCTTTCGGAGACGTTCGCATAATCGAAAAATTCGCGCCTCATTTTAATTTCCGGGCAAATGGTGATTCTGGGGAAGGGTATCTTACGCACTGGCAGCGGCGTCTCCTCGAAGACCAGCATTACCGGCGAGTCCTGCCACTTCAGGTTGGCTGGCACGTTGATAGTCGAAGTTGGGCAGAGCCAACAGCACGAAAAAAAAATATTTTTTTATTCCACAAATTAATTTTATAATAATTTAGCTGAACTTGACTTTGAAAAGTCTTCAATATATAATATTAAAAATGAAGTGCAATTACAGACAAACACACAGATATCATCATTATCATTATCATCATGATCATGGGTCAATGGGCACTTCATCCTGCTCCTTTGGGACTATCATGACTTTGCGTTTGCGCCGCTGGCTGCAGCTGCCGCAGATGCGCATCGAGAAGAAGTAGACGAGCTCGATGAAGCTGAGGCTGGAGATGCCCATAAACAAGCCGAAGATGCCGCCACAATTGGAGATCAACGTGGAGACGCCAAAGAGAATCGTGCGCTTAATCGCCGTAAACTGATGCTCCTTGAAGTAGACGGTCAAACGAGAGGCCACCGCACTGTAATATAAATATATATAGATAAATATATATATATCCGACGTAGTCATGACGCCGCTACTTACTCCTTGTGCTCGTAATCTTCGCGAAAGGCGACTAATGTCTTTTCCAGATCATAGAAAGCACGCGAGATCTCAAAGTTGTATTCCAAGGAGGTGCATGCGGGCATGCAATTGCACATGACCTTGGCATTGTGATCGATGTTCTGCTGTATTGTCTGATTCTGCAGCATGGCATTGAGCTCATCCTGTGCGGCAGTGTAGCAGGCGATCTTCTCCAGTCCGCAAACCGGCACATCGAAGGGCTCTGCAAGTAGAACACATTGGTTAAGTATTCAAGCTACGGCCAAGACTATCTATAGTCACGCACTGGGCATCCAAAACTTGACACAGCCGCACTTCGTTATTGTAAAGTTGGCCAGGCACTCGGTCTGACAATTGCTCTGCGAATAGCTACGGAAAAACCGAAGATACCGCTCATCATCGAAGAAGCACTGGCGCCTGGTGAATGGCATAAGTAACAAAAAAATGTGTAAATATAAATGTTATTAACAAATATGTTAAGTGTTTACATGTTACGAACATAAATGTAAATGTTGTGAATGTTAAAAAAGTTAGAAGTGAATCGAGTGTGTTGAGCATTCAGCAATCAGACAAGCTTCGAGAGAGGTATAAATATATTATGTATATGTGAATGTATATTTATATGTATATGTATATGTATATGTATATGTATATGTATATGTATATGTATATGTATATGTATATGTATATGTATATGTATATGTATATGCATATGTATATGTATATGTATATGTATATGTATATGTATATGTATGTATTTTTGATATCTCTGATGTGCTCACTTTTGAGCGGAAATTTCGTGTAAATTATCCGTAGACACGACATAGTTGGGCAGCACGCTAACCATGACTTCATGGCCATGGGGCACCAGTATATAATTGTTGGTGAGCGGCACGCTCTCTGGAGAGTTGAGAAACACCTGAGCAGACAAACTGACCATTAGCGCGAGCAAAGAGAAAAGCCCAGCAACTGTGACGCACCTTGTAGCCCTGCTTAAAGCTGCGGCAATCGTAGTCGTAGTTGTGCTCCAGGCCCTGCAAGACGGCAAAGAACCCTTTGCTTACCGATGAAGCCACAGTGCGCTGTGGATACGCATTCTGGCCCTGATCCACATAGCCCGTGGCCAGCGACCAGTTGCCTCGAATCTCATTTAGTTTGGGCAAACCAGTGTCAAAGTAGTTTTGAAAGTCGACTACGTCCGGATCCACATAGCTGAGGAAACGCTCATCGCGATAAATATCCTTGGGTCGCAGACCATTGAACTGGTAGCAAATGCCCTCGTCCGTGGCCACAAAGTCAAATATCTTGTAGCAAAAGTAGAAACGGCCACTCCAGCGGCAAAACGGACTCGTAACATTCTTCGATATGCTCAGATCCACCAAAGTCTCGGTCACATCCTGCGCTTGCTGGCTATGCAGCTTTGACAGAATCGGCACAAACCTCGAAACCACATCCGCGTCACAAAGGTGAATGGCGGCAGCCATGCGCTCCAAGCTGTGAATAAACATATATTTTAATAATATGTTGCGGATATTTAAGCCAAAAGTCTGAAAAAATTCACGCAGTTGCCAACAACAGTTGAGGAAATCGAATTTATATCAAACCAAATTCGCAGTTTTTAATGAAAGAATGTGGAATACAACACGTTAGAACGTAGCAGGTCGGCGCTACTGACTGTGCAATACTCGCTTGATGCAAGAATTCATGTTTTCCATTGCTTAATTGTGTGTCTGACTCGAGTATATATCTCTAACTCTAATAGCTTTTAGGTTGTAAAAGATATAGATAGATATATGTATATATACAGATTTAATACATTCCTTGTGAATCCAAAAATATCTTAACATATTACAAGACCAAGTTACAAGTAGATAAGACAGACAGACCTTCAGCCTCTTTTAATTCCTGAATAAGATAAAAATGCTCTCAATTGCCTTAAAGAATTTAAATAAATTTCTCAAATAGTGTACAACCAAGTTGAGCTTTAATATATGCTTACCTGCTGCTTACCTGCTAGCTCTTATTAATTATATAGTTCAATACTCAACTCTGCTTCATCAATGCTGGAAAAGTCATTGCCGTCTTTGTACTCCTGCCAGATCTTTTGGGAGACGTTCGCGTAATCGAAAAATTCGCGCTCCATTTTAATTTCCGGGCATATGGTGATTGTGGGGAAGGGTATCTTATGCACTGGCACCAGCGTCTCGTCAAAGCCCAGTATGACCGGCGAGTCCTGCCACTTCAGGTAGGTGGCCCAAATGAGCGACGCTGCAAAGTACACTGAGGTGCAGGTCAGCACCAGCCAGTACAATCTGGGGAAACACAGAGACGCACTTTTAGTTGCAAACTGGACAACACTCCAGGACGCACGCACACACTTCTCGTATATGGGGCGATGCACCTCGAATATGTAGCGAATGCCGTGGATGGTGGTGCTCTTGGAGTACTCCAGCAGCAGGCCCTTGCATGCGGACAGACGACTGCCATATCTGATCCGGGATTTGATAATCACATCACTGGGCACATCACTTAGCGCCGCCGAGGTGATGCTGGCACGTTGATAGTCGAAGTTGGGCAGGGCCAACAGCTCTGGCCCCGGCAGTAAGCAGCTGGGCTTCTCCTCCTGCTCCTCTTTTGCGGCCATATTCAGAATGCGCGTCCACGCACGTCGTTGCCTCAACTAAGCTGCCCCGCGTTGCGACCTGCGGTTTTATAGCCAGCACACAAATGGGTGCGTCCACAAGCCAACATTCCCGTAGGATGTCACACTTGCTGCTCGGGGACACTGCCGCGTTCTCCATGTACTTAGTCTAATTGCCGGCTTAAATGTGTCACAAAATTAAGTATAGTTGACGTTTTTATCTAATACCCAATTTGCAAACTTTAAAGAGCAGAACAACAGCTGGCAACTTTCAAGCTGAAAGAATAGAAAGATAGTAAGAACTATTTAAGTTCAGTTTAATTCTTCTTTTGAACAGACCTCGTATACTATATACTGTGTGGCACATAGAGTACTCTTGCTCAATATTGTCAGTCAGCATAGTAAACTAAGCAAGACAATGACAGTATTAATCTGCTTAAGAAACCAAATCAGATTATACATTAATTAATATCCAGTTGCAGTTGTCTCTGGTCTGCACACAGCAGCTAAGGCAAATACACAGTTTCCAGCAAAATAATCCATTTGCAGTCGAAATCAACTGTCAATATAGAACAATACGTCGGAAACTAGATGTAAGCGAAGTGTCTCAGAGCTGAAATATTTGCAAAGGAAGTTTTACGTGAGTGCAATTTGAAACTGCAACTGCAACTACAAAGCAGCAACAGCAACTGCAGCTGCAGCTGCAGATGTTGTCAAGCTTCAGTTTGATAGAATTTCAGAATTTAAGCTGAAATTTGAAGTTTTGTGGCTGGCTCGGGGCTGCCGTGCAAATTCGAACACACAAAATGCATAAATCAAAGGAAAATTGAATTTTAGCCATTGAAAGGCATTGCATACGCCGAGGCGCAACGCTGCACGTTGCACGCTGTGCGCCTGTGAGCCTGTGACAATATGTTAGAAGTGGAAAAGAGGGACGCAGCCATTCTGCTGCCATGTCCCTCGCAGAGATTGCCGCAGTGGCATGCCTGGCAAAAACTTTGTCTGGCTTGGCGTTGATGCCACTTTAAAAACAAAATCTTCGAGTGCTTTATGCAAAGACCAAGACGCCAGCACTTCATAAATGCGGCAAAAAAAACACCGATTTTTTCTTCTACTTCTTAAATCATTTCGCAAGCTCAAAGTCGAGCTATGAAACTATAATTAAAGACTTGAACTAATTTGCAAAAAAGTCTAGCTTAGTTCGCAACTATGAGGAACTACTATTTTAGTGTTTCTTTATATAGTTATTATATGACAATTTAGCTGAGAGTCTAAGAATATTTTTTTAATATTTTTAATTTACTACAGATTTCAAGTTTAAGGTTTAGAAATATTTAGAAACCTATTTAATACACGTAAAATATTTCTATATATAAACAATCTAAGGAAATTATAATCAAAGATATTTAAAATTTAATTGTGGCTTCTGTCTATCTAATATGTGAATTTGGACATTATTATTTTTGAACATATCTAGAATATTTGAAACATTTGCTGTATTTTCAGTGCATCTTTTTGTTGACTTATCCAAAATATTTTAAGTTTTGGTTTATTGAACTCATTTTGGTAAAAGAAGCGTAAGAAGCAAAAGAAGCCACAAAGTTAAAGAAAGAGCAGATTTTTCTCAGCTTGTTTGTTTACTTAACTATTTGTCATGAGCCTATAAGAGTTAAAGAATAAAGTAGAAAGTCCTCCTATGACACGCATAGTTAGAGTTAGTTTCAAGATCTGATAAACTTTTCAAATACTTTTTCCATTACCATGAAATCGATCAAGCTCTAGGTTTTTGAGTATATCTTGAATGTGTTTAGTTGCAGGCACAACAAAAGTTGTTAAGTAAATATAAGTTTCCTTTAGCGCTCTTCATACTCTCCAGAAATATATCTCTTTCCTCCTAAGCATGCCTTCAATCTCTCAGGCTGCCCGCCACCAGCTCAGATTTTACACGTGCTGATTGGGTGAGGCGAAATGAAAGAATAGAATTCACCACTGTTTATAGACAATCATACCACACGCTTTAGCCGGGTTTGTCTGCTGCCTGTTGCCACAAAATAAAATAAAGAGAATTTCTAAGTTTTCTTTGGCGATTATTTGGGCTTCAGGCCATTTACAGTTCAGTCTAGTGAGGGCGCTTGAATTTGTAAAACGTGTCGAGCTTAGCGCCAGTCAATATATATTTGGATATATAGATTTATATATACATATATGTATTTCTATATATATGTGCAGTCCCAGGATACCGGAATATTTGCAATTAATTCACATAACGGAAAAATTCACAGTGACGATGCAAACTGTTGGCATCTAAAACAAATCACAAAATAAATCAATAAAAATGTCTGAACAGCAAAAATATGCAGTTTTGTGAGCAAATATTCTGCATATGCCAGCAAATATGTTTACTTCTGTAATCGATGCAGTTATTTTATTTACGATGTGTTCGCACCAATTTAGAAAATAAACGCGCGAACGAATGAACCGCGGGCAAATTGCTGGAATTTACATTTTAATGAGTTTTTGCTATACAAAAAACATGGCATTCTAAACGATTAACAGCCAACCTCAATACACAAACAGTGAAAGAGACGCATATACAAAGTGAGAGACAGAGAGAGAGACAGAGGAGGTAGAGGAAGGTTACGAAATCAATCAATTACAACACGCAAACGAGGTAAGTTTATTTAGCATATAATTTATTAATTAGTAAGTCTATGCGCATTGGCAAGAACTGGAGCGTGAAGCAAACCAATACAGTTGACTCCATTTTGCATTCACACGCAGCATTCCGTCTCGCATTCACACTCCCATTAACACATTAATGCGGCTAGTTTAACGAGCAAACAAATGCTTTGACAGCAAAAACGTTGCCAAACAACTGGCGAAACTTCAATTAAATTTCACAAATTGAATAATTAACAAAGCGAAAATAGAAAAAAAAAATGTATATAAATAGCTATCTCATTGTTTTAGGTGTTGATATACACTTGATCAAGTATACGCAGCATTGCACGAATAAATGTTCAGACTTTTGCCGATAGCATTTGAATATTATTTTGATAAGTGCGTTTCGCAGTTAGAAATTTTATTTGTATAACTTAAATTTATACATATTAGTTTTAGTGATATATAGTCTATATTATGTATACGCAGAGTAGCACAAAACATTTGAAGCTTTCCAAATATCAAAATACAATATAAAAAAAACATTTTCATTCTGAAATGTTGGCAAAAAATTATTAAAAATGTTTGAAACTATTCTTTTCCAAAAGTTTTTGACTTTTCCAATTCGAATCTAAAACCAAAATATCCTGTCATGTCAATAGTCAAAGTATTTTCTAAAAATTTTTAAATTATTTGTTGGGGCAATTTTTTTTTTTAAAAAATTAATTGTACATAAAAATAATTATAAATAAGTATACAGACAAAATGTAGAAAAAAATGATGTTGTGCAGGTTGAATTTTCTCGTCTCTTTGACAAAATAAAAAGGATAAAAATGTTATTTTTTCTCTGTTTCATTTTTGTTGAAGAAACTTGCTCTTATTCATGATTCATGCTTCAAGCATGCAAGCATTATATCCACATTATTTCAAATGAGATATCGTTATATCATTAAAATTAAAAATAACTGACACTTAAAAGTAAGGCAAGTCTTACTTATATTTTCATAGAAAACTGTTAATTATTTAAAGCTATTATTCATTTAAGAACCTCCAAGCCTTTCACAATATACATCGAAATCAAACTGAACTTAATTATAGCATAATTTAATATTTCAATATTCCTATAAATAGAATGAAAGTAATGATAAGCACCTATTATTTCCATGTAAATTATGATATAATTAAGGCCCACATAAGCTTCACTTACCAATATTTACACTTAACTATTTATTTGGCTTGTGCACGCAAACATATCGCCTACATGTTAATTTCTATGGAGTTGAGCAATTAGTAGAGCATAAGCACATTTGAAGTTATTTTAGCATCAGACTAACCTCAGGCATGAACTTTGTCACCTCATGCCATACAGCCAGTACTTATCATAAAACGGCTTTAACTAATATGCCAACAACAAATGCAATAACAGCAAACTACACTAGCAACAACAACAAGAACAACAAGAACAACAATAACAACGAGAACGACAACGACAACATGTCCACCTTTCAGCGCATAGCATATCGAGTTGCCATCAGAAGAGCTTGGTAAGCAATTCGAACGCCTTGACTTGTGTCCATTGAGCTCACATAATCGCACAGACGACGATAGAGACAAAGCTAACTAAGAAAGAGACAGAGAGAGAGAGAGATAGATAAAGAGAGAGAAGGCGACTGAGCATGTACGTGAGTTCAGCCTCTAGTACCCATGCCCTGCCTTGGGGTATCGCATTTTAATGACCCACTTTCGAGCTCAAGACTATTTAAGTTTCACTCGTATTGGTTTGTTCTAATTCCGAGCAGTGCAAATCCCAGTGGAGAGCAATTAGTATGGCCATTGGCCAGCACAACTGCAGCATATATTGTCAAGGAAATTGTGAAAGAGTTGCCGAGCGGTCATTGAGGGGCTTCGGGGTTGCCGCACTCACAGCAGCAGCAGCAGCAGACAAAAGCCAAAACAATAGGTGAATAAAAAAAAAATATATGTTGCAGGCAGTGAAAGTCAGCAAAAACAATTCTCAATACGATGTTGACAGCAGTTGAAAGACCAAACGACAGCAAAAGAAACACGAAAATAAATGAAAAATGAAATTAATAGAATTAACGAGTGCAAAAATTCAATTCAAGGCGCCACAAATTCAGGGACAACACTTGGCGTCGTGCCGTGAATACGTTTCGAGCCAAATTTGGGGCAGCACCTTGGAACGCAGTGCGAATGCCGAGCACAAAGATACAACAACAAAAAACAGTTGAAAAGTTAAATGAAATACGAACTTGGTCAAGGCAGACAATTGTACGAATTAAGTCTATTCAATGCAAGATGCAAGAGCGTTAGAGTATTAGCTTTAAGAGAGCTTCAAATGTATAAAAAAATATTTAAATGAAGCATAAATAAAATAAAAATTTTAATGGAAGTCTGCAATGACAGAACTAAAAGTCAATCTGTGGATATAATTTGTTAATATTGAAGAAGTTTCAAATAAAAGATACCAGCTAAACATAGCACGCTCAGGTCGAGTTGAATCTGTTCAAATAAATAACTTTTATCTTTATCATTAAATAAATTAAGAACTTTAAGAGCTTTAGTTATTTGAGCACGCCAACTTTTTATTTAGTTCTTTGCTCATTTATTTCATATTTTAGTTGCCGATTCACAAATTCAAAAATCAATTAATTAAGGTACATAAAAAACTTTTATTTGGGAGTTTCATGCTTTGATAATTGAATTAAAAGTTTAACTGTTAAACAATTGAATTCAATTCAAACAATAGGAAAATTGTTAAATAAAACATTTGATCAATTTAGACTAAAATCATTCCGGAATAAGTTTAAGCTTTAAATGAAAAACCTATATTTAAAGCATCTTCTACTTGATCACTCAACACATTTTCTTGTGAAGGATCTGTTTCTATATCTGTACCTGTATCTAGCATCTTTCTATTAAACATTAAGCGTAATCATGTTACATTTAATATCCCTCATGCCTAATTTTGATAACTAGACTAACTTTTTGTTTATTTCTTCTTTATGACCTTTGTGCAAATTTGTATTCAGGCATCTCTTATCAAATCACATAAAAAATATTTGAGCTAGGCAGAAAATGTTGCTCTTTCTGCTCAGTTTATTAAATGACATAAAGAACTTCAGTTGTAAATTAATTTCGAGGAAAAAATATGTGAAAATATCCTATGAGCGTAATAATTATTAATTTATATTCTTGTGTGTGGCATATAAGCCGTGTGAGTTACTAGCGGCTGGTTTGGGGTATAAATATGAATACATAATTGGAAAACAAAATTCCAAAAATATTTTACAACATACTCCAACCACTAACACAACTTGCTGTGTGTGTTGGCTGAGTGTGCAAGGGTGTGTTGTCCATTCTTGTTGGGTTGCCAGGCATTCATTGTGCTCTTATTCATTTCAGAGGCAAACACTCACAGGGAGCTGTGGTCACACACGAAGCAAGGCGAGGCGGCCAAAGATGGACCTACGTATACGTAATCTAACACTGCCAACGCCAGCCGCAACAACAATTATGTTCTCGTCAACAGCAACAACAGCGCTGGCCGCCGCAATGTCCAGTGGCACAGCGACAACAATTCCGCCAACAACCGAGGCAACAGCAACGACAACAACAACAACAACATCCACATTTTTTACATACAGCATACCAGGCATGGACATTGCGCCGGGACCATTTATATTCACCTACGTTAGTGAATTTTTATCGCTTATCACGCCCGAAGAATTGCCGCTTGGTAAGTTTGTGGGGCAAAGCTGGTCGAAAGGTTCAGGGTTTCATCTTTTTTTGTCTATATCTATGTTTCTGTGTTACTGGGAGTGTGTTTGTGTGTGTGTGAGTGTGTATGTGTGGTACCTCGTTGTGTCTGGCTGCCAAGGAATTAAATGGCGAACTGCGCTATGATAGCATGCCAACATCATTTATACTAAAAATATATTTTGAAAGTGATTCATATAAAATTTAATTATTTTAATGTATAAAATATATATGGGAAGAAAGCTTTTACGGCTGGTCAACGAGTGAGAGTAATTAAAACTTTTAATTTAAAATAAATAATTTTTTTTTTTTATTATTGCTAAGTTCTTACTTTTATATATATATATATATTTGTATATATATATATATATTTTATATATATATCTTTTTTTTTTAATTTTTTTCTTTATATAACTTATATTTATATAACATACATTAAGTCACATTGTGAATGATTTTGATGGGCATAGCTCGGCAGCTCTTGGCATTGTGTATGCTGAACGCTGCACGACATTGGATTAAATTATGACACTAAATTCAGTTGGCGTATATTTTATGGCTCTTAGTCGTACAAGCATTTCGCCGTGTACTACACGATTTGGATCCACAGTCGAGGGGTCGAGGTTCGCATCTCGCTGCTGCTTATCAAATATGCTAGTCATTACGCCGACCACCACCACAATAGGTTTTTGAGGCGTTGAAGAATTGTAGCAAAGTCAGCTTAGACTAAGCTGATTAGAGAAAAAAAAAAAACAAAATATGAATTAAGGAAAATTATTTATATACAAAATTGGTCGACGAATTGAAGGAGACACCTCTAGCGGGCTAGCTGCAGATGTCCAATGAGCAAAAGCTGGCAAGCTTTATGAAAAAATATGATGTACAAGAGTCGGTAGCACGTCACTATCTGACAACGAACAACTGGGCCCTGGACGAGGCGAGCATCAAATATGAAAGTGACAAGGCCACGCAGCGCAGCAGCCAAGCGATACCCGTACACGAGCTCCAATCTATGCAGAGCCTACTGAGTCATACGCGCCCCACCGATGACGCAGAAGCATACTTTGCCGGTGCATCCGATAGTTCGATGCCACCACCGAATGGCAACCAGCAGTCGAGGCGAGTGATCATCGATGACTCGACGCCGGCGCTGACTACAGCTGACAGCGATCGCAGTTTGCGCGCCTGGGGCCATGGCGTTCGCTTGGGCAGCGCTCATCCCATCATTCCACCGCCAGTACGCCGCAGTCATGCCAGCCTAGACTCGGACTCAGAATCGGAGCTGGAGCAGCATGAGCGAACTATTGTGGTATTGCATCTCTGGTCCGAGGGTTTCTCGCTGGACAATGGCATGCTTCGGCGCTACGAGGTACCCGAGAACGAGCGCTTCCTGCGCGCCATTATGCGCGGCGACTTCCCGGACGAGATGCAAGTGCTGGGCCGACGCATCGAGCTGACTGTGCGGGACCGCACCAACGAATCATATCGCGAGCTGTCCCGCAAACAGTTCATGGGCTTCGGGCGACCACTGGCTAGTCCGACGCCAGACATAGATCTGACCGCACGCCCCAGTGAGCTGCTATCGTCAGAGGAGCGCCAACAGCTCCAAGAACAGGTCGCCCAGCACACGTTACAGCTGAACGGCCAGACTGCCATGACCACAATACAGTTTCGTCTGGCCAATGGCAACCGCATCGCCGCACATTTTAACACCTCCCACAACGTGGGAGATCTCTATAGATACCTACGCGTAGCGCGACCCCAATATGCCACCGACAGCTTTCTACTCATTACCGGGTTCCCACGGCACGACCTGCACGAGACCGATCAGCGCACCCTGGCCGAGGCTAATCTGCTAAATGTGTTGATCATCCAGCATATGAATGATGAGCCCGAACACGTTGAACCATCGTCTGAATCAAATTAAATCAGTGATTACGCCATAACGAACAAATTACTATAAATATATTATTTAATAATAATTTATTAAATAAATATGTAGTTTATTTAGATTAGCTTATATTTAAATATTTTGTTAAGAAATGTATAAGGAATTTTTTTTTATCATATTTTTTCTACATTTTTAAAAAATATATACGATTATATAAATTAATATTTTCAATAGGTTTAACAATTTTCGTTGTTAATTTATTTTATTTTTTCATTCAATTTATTTATTTAAGTAACTATTCCACTTTTATTTATTATTGTCTCAAAACTTAATTCAAAATACTTTAATATTTGAATTTATATTTATAATTAATAGTTCATTTTATTTGTTTTTAATTTAAAATGTATACACTTTAGTAAATATTTAAAATATTTTTAATTTAAAAAAATTAATTTTAGCAAGAAATTTATTTAAATTCTAGTTTTGTTTTTGTTTTAAATTAATAATATTTTTTAAAGTTATTTTATATTTTGAATTTAAGTTAATTTAATTTAAAAAAAATAATTTTATTATTTTTAGCTTTTAAAAAAATTTTTTCCTTTTTACTTTTAAGATAATAATTATAAATTTAGTTAAATATATATATATATACAAATTTTCTATTGACATATTGATTTCTGACTTATTTAAGTAAAGAATTTTCATAAATTTTGTAACAATATTTATATTGATAATTGATATTAATCATTTATTACTGTATGCATTAAAAATACTATAACATTTTCACAGATTCCATACGAGATGTTCTCCACAAAAATGTCAGCTTTGTGGATTTTACAATGAATGTGAGTGAAGCTGATATTTCATACATTCATCAAGCTCTTATGCAATACTTTAATTTGCGTGAAATTAATAATATTTTTTGTGGCGCAGGCAATTAAAATCGAGTCCGGTTTTATAGCGCTGATGAGTATTTTTGCAATATTGGCGCTGGTGCCATTGATAGCCACCTGTGCGTGGTGCTGCGGTCGGCGCAGCACTGAGGACGAGCTCGATCTCATACGCAACGCATCGGTGCACATACGCGACGAGTCGCTGGAGGAGAATCTGCGCTGCCGCAAGAGCGCCGGCCTGGTCACACTCTGGATAGTGTTCATCCTGCTCACGTAGGTGTTTCTGCCCATTGGCAAGTTGCGTTGTCTACTTGGTGTTCGGCTCAATTTAATGGCATTTTGCAGGCTGAGCGACTTTAGCATATTTTATGCGAACAGTCGCCTTGCGGCTGGCATCTCAACGACGCCGGAGATGGTCAAGTCCGCTGTGCACGACGTGGAGGTCTTTCTGAAGGATACGCATCTACAAATCAAACACAAACTGGATAATGGCTTTCATGTTTCCGTTGAAAGAGTCGTCAAAGATCTGGAAGGTCAGTGGGCGGCACACACAAAGCACAGAAACTTTTCCCCGCCAACTTTATGGGCAGCCACGTCGCGCACATTTTATAGTTTTCGATTCATGTATTATGCTAAAAACTTTATGCATTGCATTGTGAGTTATTGCAGTGCCTGTTCCTACGGCTCTTACTTCCCCCTACACTATGCCAAGCTCCAGCAGTCGCATGTGAACTCAATTTACGGTCTGTTTTCTTTTCTTTTGCCATAGACGTGGATGTTCTCCTTGGCGAGCCAATTCAAGCGGAAATATCTGCACACACTGGCCTCGAACTGGCATATGATTCATTGACGACACTTAGCCTGGGTGAGTTGTCTATTGGTTAAGTGCTCCGTAGCCATTGTTTGCCTCTATGCGTCCGACTCGGACTTGACCCAAATCCGTTTGTACTTCTCACTTGTTTTTTATTGTACACGGAAGTGCAAACTCATCGTAATAATATGGAAGAGTGTTGTAAATCTTCTCAAGAAATCAAGTATACGTAAGCAAGCAGAGCTTGATAGAAATTGAAGCTTATGGCATTTTGATGGCATATCTTTCCCATGGAAACTACAAACTATTTCCCACAGCTGCCAGCTGCATCTCTTTAATTTAAAGACTCTGGACACAAAGAAGCAATTGCCAGACAACTCTAGAATCACATCAGTATATCAAAATGTATATTGAAGTGCGACGAGTGAAGCCATTGTTTGCGGCCAATTTCATTAGGCGGAAACTAATGGCAAATAAAATGCTCGAGTGGATGCCGCATGCTGCCGAAATGTTAGGCTGAGGCGCGCTGGCAGCCGTCGTCCACATCCGCTGACAAGTTGACACAGGCACGGCAGAAATGTCACGAAGGACAACTGCATTATGTGCGCACACAATGTGTAATTTAGCCTCAGTCAGCGCCGTCCGCTGTGCCCACTCTCACCGGGCGCCAAATAAATATGCTACAATAATATTTTCGTGGATTTCGTTGCAGCCAACGCGGAGCTCATCTATCGCGTGCTCATGCTGCAGGAGACGGTTGGGCGGGCATTAAAGCTGTCGCAGGAGGCCGCCGCCCGCATGGAGGAGCTGCAGATACAGCTGTCCGTGCTGCAGCGCCAGTGCACGTACCGGGACCGTCCGCTCTGTGACACATTGCGTATACGCAGCTTCGAGGAGAACGGCGTCGTGGACGCTCTGAAGACGGTGCGTTGGGTCAGCTTGATTGTCGCTTCATTCCATTTAATTCTTGCGCCATTTTCCCTTTTCAACTAACTGCCTCTGCTAATTCGCGGCCATATCCCATTTCGCATCGTTGCAATTTGTCAGCTGCAAGAGGACCAGAGCATCTTTCGCATGCGCTACTTGGGCGAAATTGAATTTGGTGCCACTGTCAAGAATCTAACATCGGAAGTTGGCGTCTCACGTTCCATTTTCAGCAATTTCCCGCAACAAGTAAAACACGACACGGCATACGAACGCAACTGTAAGTCCAATCACAACTCATGGCACAATCAAATGTTTTTTCTTATGCAGCAGCAGCAGCAGCAATAAACATTGTGAACTTTTGATAGAAATGTCAGAAACTTAAACAGAGCTACCGCTAGATAGCTGAAAGCTGCTTCAATTCATAAAGCTGGCTCTAGATTTCATCTGAATTTTTTCTCTTTATTGAATTTTATTTATAAACTTTTCTATACACAATTTCTGCCAAGCATGGGTGACCAAACAAGAGTGATACTATTTTTAATAGCTATATTTTGGCAGTTATTCAAATTATTTATAAGGTCTACCTCTTGAATGATTCCACAAGACTTGCCATTTTATCATGCATATAATGAATTATTTAAAAAAATTTAATATATTAAGGCTTAGTACTCATACCTCGACGACATAGTCAACGGACGAGTGACGCTTATACGATTAAATAGCTTTCGATATTCTGTGACAGAATTAAGTCTTTCCAAAACTTCTTAAGGCTTAAGACACCCCAGCAAAGCGGAGTTGAATGATTTCCCCTTGGCATAGTTGTAGCTCCCTCCGAGGATAAGACTAGAACATCAAATTATGCCCAACAAATTTTATTTAATTCCAATTTGAATTCTCCTCTTAAAGTTACAATTTTCAATTAAAAATTATATTCGATTTCAATTTGTTAGAAAGAAAAGAAAATTTCGAAGTAAATTTCAAGTGAATGCCCAGAAATCTCTTAAGAGCTAAAAATAAAATAAATAAATTTGTTTATATAAAAATAATCAAGGAAACGTGAAAGCAACAGTCGAAGCCAACACTTGGAGTCCCTTAGCCTTAACTTACACTTAAGATAATGGAGACGTTGAGGGCTTCTAGTTATTTCATTGACACTTCAGCATTGATTACATTTATTTCTGCAAGTTGCATAAACCTTTTCGAGCACAAATTCGATTATGACTTCAATTTAAATGTACAACTCAATCAATAGCGCACGACAAGGGCACGCACGTGTGTGTGTGCGTGTGTGTGGGTGTGGCATGTGCTTTTGTCACGTAACACACAGCGAGGGAGTGAGTGAGAGAGCGAGAGCAGCATGTTGGTCCAAGTTTAACACCATATTAATTACTGTCACCTGGGCACACACAAAGCTGTCACCTGGGCTACACAATACACTAATTGAATTGCCAAAACTTGTTCGCAGATACGCTGGAGCAGTTGGCCAGCATCCGGCACAGGACGACGGCGAATGCTCAGATGCTAACTTCGACTATCAATGCACTGCTGCAGCGGCTGCAAGGCATGTGGCCAGCTCTGGAGCCAGGCTACAATGAGCTAAAGGCATGGGCGAACACCTATTGGAGCATTGGATGGATTGCAGCTCTAGTCATCGTTTGGGTGATGCTCTTCATGCTGATGTCCTACTGTTGCTTTCTGTGCGAGTCGAACGTCAAATCAGGTGTCGTTTTTCTCGTTGCTGTTTTGATCATATGCTTTGGCAGCATTTGCCTCACCTTCTATGGCGTTTTCTCGCTGGCCGTTGGCGGCAATACAGAGGTCTTTCTGTGCCGCTCTCTCAACACCAATAACTACGATATGCTGGGTAAGCTATTCGATAAGCCTGGCTATGTCTATGCCGAAGAACCTCAAACGGGCATCATCGGCGAACTGCTACGTCCAGCAGGCGTCAATCGATCTGTTGTTAATGTCAGTCTGGGCACAGCGCTCAGGTGAGTGAAGTCTTTCTAACTCTCTCTCTCTTTCTCTGTCTTCACCATGTCCACTAATATGCGTGTCCTTAGACTTCCCCAGATTAGTTCCTCGTCTATAATCAACTTAAGTAACGAATTCTCTCATCCAATTACTTTGATACTGTACGTGCCTGTAATTTTGATAGCCCAACCATCCATGCGCAAAATATACTTCCCTTGAACTGGCAAACAGACGAGTATTTAGGAAGCTGTCAGTATTCCAACTGCACTTGCCTACATCTTTTTATGAGAATGAACAATTGAGATATATATATAGTAACAGTACATAGATTATTTTTAGCTTAACAAGTCTTAAAAATGTGTACACAGAATTAACGCATTTAAAAAAATATATATATATTTATATAAAAAAAAAACAACAGAAAAAATAACCTTCAAATTATGTATAGGA